TATCTAGTTTAATCTCGTTATCGGCAAGTCTCTTTACTCATTCCGTAATACAAGATCACGTGACTAAACTCATAGTCACATGAAGCTTCTTGTGATGTTGTATTAGCAAGAGGGCCCAGAGATATTTTTCCATCACACGGGGTGACAAATCCCAATCTCGGCCCATGTAACTCAACAGACACATTCAGATATACCTGTAGAGCATGTTTTCACCCAGTTACGAAGTGACGTTTGATAGCACACAAAGTATACCTCTGGTATCCCGGAGTGACATGATCTCATGGTCTAAGGAATTGATACTTGACATGAATAAAGTTGTAGCAAATAACTAAGTGATACGATCTAATGCTAAGCTTACGGTTAGGTCTGTCCATCACATCATTCTCCTAATGATGTGATCCCGTTATCAATTGAAAACTCATGGCTATGGTTAGGAAACCTTAACCATATTTGATCAACGAGCTAGTCTAGTAGAGGCTTACTAGGGACACAATGTTGTTTATGTATTCACACATGTATTTAATATTTTTGGTCAATACAATTCTAGCATGGATAATAAACATTTACCATGAACAGAAAATATGATAATAACCATTTTATTATTGTCTCTAGGACATATTTCAAACACACTTTGCTTACTGTGACTAACTTGCATTCACAAGTCCATAAACCTCGATAAGAGGCAATGGCCATTTCCTATGCTCACTGTGGTATCGATACTCTTACTTACAAAAAGCTACAACTAAACTCTATGCACTTGTAGATCATCAATAGCCACACTACCTCCCCCAGTTTCGGCGCATAAGTCTCCTCCTGCAGCTATCCGGCTAGGTCCTAGAAGTCCGTGAGCATTGTCTCCACATCAACAGTAGCAGCCAACGGCATGGAGTGCTGCTAAGATCAAGCCGACCACCTCGAGGAAGATGGTGCTAGTGACTAAGGTTGCAATGTCAAGGCCCTGCAACAAATGAACCAATAGCTAGTAGCAAGCTCCATGTATTAGTAATTCGTACAACTAGCTCATATGTCCAAGAGCTCTCAAAAGTTCTTCATTGATTCCGACGAGATCTCCTTCGCTTAGTTCGCCTTGGGTCGAACGGAAATGGCTTGGTCCCTAGTCACACACCCCTTAGCACCGCCATCCTCATCCGCTGCAACTCGAGTTCCGCCTATAGCTTTGGCTTGGAGAATGATCACAACATATGCGATGCTCACTTTGGAGTGTCGGCTGCAGCTCCTAGAGCAGATTCGAGTCCGACACACTGCTTGGATTGCAGCCAGCCTGCCTTCAAACTTACCGAAGCATGAGGAGGAGGAGAGGAGGTGAGGCAGAGCCGATGTTTTCGGCCGCGGAGTATGAGCTCTCCCAAAGAGGAGGTGGCGGAGCAACAGACCATCCTAGACTCCATCCGCTAGGAGGCGAAGGTGGAGGCAAACCACCACTACCTCCGCGAGTCACGTGTGGAGGTGGACGCAATCTTCGGACGTGGAGTCCAGCGAGGAGTCGGAGCCACCTGTGGCACCCATCCGCCAGGTTGCAGGCCCGTCTAGCATTGCCAGCATGAAGGTGGTCGACATCTCCAACGACTAGTAGAAGTAGGCTAGGTTTATCTCAACGACACTTATTTTGGGACAGAGAGAGCAATATTTAGTAGTACAAACACTTTATGTGGTGCATGATCTAGTATGAATTTCAGTAATGAAGGTATATCGTTGCAATGGGCAAAAAATGAGTGCTGATGAATCATTCTCCGCGTATGCGCCAGCTTGGTGGTGGATTTTTTGGGGTGGGGTAGGGGGTGGATTTTGCTAGGTAGTTGCAGATGCTCGCGCTTAGAGCATCTCCACTCACGCCCCCAACATACCCCCAGGGCTCTTTTTTTAGCGCCGACACTGAAAAATTGGCCCAGTCGCACCCCTAGGGCCTTGTTTATAGTCGGCTTGGGCCAAAATAACAGTCGGCGAACCCGAGCTGAACCCAAGCCCCCGGGGGTCGTCTGGGGGCGCCGACCGAAGCAAAAAGGCGCGTGGGTCCGCTCTGTCGGCGAGAGAAGGCCCTTTTCCCCATCGCCCCCTGCTTTCCCCCTTCATTTCCCTCCATTTCCCTCCATTCCCCCCTTTTGCCCCTCTTCTCCCGCCATTCTCCTCCATCTTCCCTCAATCCGGCTTCCATGCCGCCGAAGAAGTACACGACCCCTCGCGCCGCTACCGATGTCGATGCCACCCAGCCGAAGCAGAGGAAGCCGATGGCGCCGTCCTCCAAACCACCGGGCATGTCGAACACTGACTGAAGGTGGAGGTTCAGCGCCGGGAGGCTGTCACCACCGACCGGCGGAACAGGCTCAACACCAAGAAGGCCCGGGACAGGGCGGCG